GCCTGTGTCGTCCCCGTGCTGCCGGGCCCCAAATGCGTGCTTTCCTTACCCTGTGCCCTGGGACTGCCAGTAAGACTTTTCCTTCCGAGGCCAACTCAGGTGTGATAGGTCGCTGCCTTCCCTGCTGCGGCGGGCCAGGCCGATGCAGCTCATGCCCGCCTTGTGCCTACTGTGGTTGCGGAGCGCTGCTCCCCCTCTGCGTGTTACCCGTGGGCCTGCTGCCAGCGCTCTGCCGGCGGTGGGTTTGGCGCTTACTTTGTGCAAGTGCTCAGCCGAGCCTGCGCGCTGGTCCGGTAACCCTTTCGCCGGGGTCCGGGTCGGTGAGGCATCGCACCCTGGACCGGAAGCACCGAAAGGGCTCGACCTTGGTTGGCTTAGCTTTCTTGGCCCGGGCCTCCTTGACTCGATCAAGCAGGCCATCCAGTCCCTCGTGCAACAGGCGGTGCAGCAATCGTTGGGGCAGGCCCCGCCCAGGGCAGAGCCCACCGTGCCAAGGCGCGCCGGCGCCTCAAAGCCAAGTCTCGCAAGGCAGTTGCCAACAAAAGGGCGGCAGGAGCGTCTCCCCGGCTCCTTCGATTCCCTCAGCTGCCCGTGCCGCCCCGCAAGGCAAAGGTGATGGAGGTGCATCAGGCAAAGGTGCAGGCAAAGGCCAAAGCAAGGGCAAGGGCCCAAACTTGGGCAATGAGCAACCCCAACCTCCTAAGCCCGCCACCCCGCCTTCGCAAGAAGGGGAGTGGTCTGTTGTAAGTCGCCGGCAAGAGCCCTCTGCTGAGGTTGAGCTCCGGCAGCAAGATTGGGATAGCGAAATCGTTCGCTACGAAGTGCTGGCTTCCAAGCTTGAGGCCTCCCAGGGTACCTTCAAAGCCGTCATTCGTTGCGGTAAGGGCCAACTTAGCACCGCCCGGACCCTCCTGCAAGGATCGGGCAAGCCTCATAGCGTGCTCTTAATAGAGTTTTGCAAGGATGCCCCAAAGGACACTTCGAAGGAGGAGCCGTCGCCCTCCAGCAAGGCCGTGCGGCAGCGGGTGCCGGTCAAGGCAGGCAACTTTGTTAAGTTTCTTGACTGTTGCCAAGATCCAGCCTAAGGCCTCCACTGCCCTCTTCTGTCGTGTGTCACAGGAGTTTGCCACGGCTGAGGTCTGGAAGAAGTTTGGCTCTGCTCCGCGTGATGCCATCGCCCACTGGGCGGCCACCTCGCGCGTTCACATCGTTGATGCCTTTAAGTGGTCTGAAGAGGTCCTTCCAGGTAACAAACGTCAGGTTTATGGAGTCATCCGTGTTCCAGAGCCCGATGCTCCCGCTTTGCTTGTGCAATCCGGTGCCGGCGGTGTCTTCATTTCGGTACCAAAGGCTGCTGCTAGCTCGCAGTATGTGCAATGGATCCCAAGGAACACCTCTGAGCCTAGTGCTGCTTACCTTGCCCGTGCCTTTTGTGCCAAAGGGTCTTTGTCTTTGGGGCTTGTGTTCCGCGGCTCTAACCTTGGAAGCCGGCACCACGCCGACGCTAAGACCCTCATCCCGCGCATTTGGATCTTGGAAGGCCTGCCCTCAATCCTTGATATGGAGCAGGCCAAGACGGTACTGGAGCCGCTGTTTCGTGACCTTAGCATCATTCGGCAAGTTCGCAAAAACGGCTCGAAGCAGTTCATCTTTAGAGGTGCGTGCCTTCGAGGCAACGAGACTGACCTCGTTCCGATTGCCGTTGAGGTTGAGGATGTGGGAGGTCAAGGCGCACGGCGCACAGGCATCCCATGTTGCATGGGCCCGGCTGGCTCCTCCCAAAGGTGAGAATGGCTCCGCAAACGATGCAACAGGGAAGCCGCAGCCTGCGGCCAAGCGGCAAAAGGCTCTCCTCCGGCAGGTCCCTGAAGGCACCAAGCTGATGCCACAGGACAAGGATGGCAACTGCATGTACCGCTCCATTGCGTGTGCCCTCAACCACGGGCGAAAGGAGGCCTCCTTCCATCACCTTGAGCTTCGCGCTCGTGTTGCTTCTCACCTTGAGGAGCACGGCTCGTGGTACGAGGAAGAGTGGAAAGCTGATAATTGCAAAGGCCCGGATGGCACACCCCTTCCCAACTGGGCGGCCTTTGTTGCGGCTGTGGCAAAGCCGGGCTCTTTCTCAGGAGACATCGAATTGAAGGCCCTCTGCAAGTTGTGCAAAATCAAGGTCGTCCTCATTCCTGAGGACCCTGCCTTTGCTGTTGTTGCTTACAGCAAAAAGTGGCACTCTAAGACTCACTGTGTGTTTTACACCTCGAACCACTTTGACTACCTGGCACCGGTCGGTGATGCATACAGCAAAGAGCTGCTTGATGTTTCGGCTGACCCGAACGGCGGGTTCCTCGTTGGTGGGTTGTCCGAGCTCGCCACTGAGTCTAGTAGCAGCCGTTGTGCCGGCACCCGTGCCGCGGACCTTCGCACGGAGACTTCGCGGCGCTCCAAAGGCCGCTCCGGTGTCACCCCTGCCCCTGGTACCAAACGCGGCCGTTCCTAGGTCTCGCAAACCCAAGCCTCGTCAGGTCACCCGGCAGGCTGCAGGCGCAAGGCTAGGTCCGAAGAAGCTCCGGGCAAGCGGCTCCGCACTGTGTCCTCGGCCGTTTCGTGTGCTCCTCAGTCTGAAGCGTCAGGTCTGGCTCCCGGAGCCTCCGCCGGAGCTTGCAGTCCTTGATGGTTTCGTCGAGCCCCGGAAGCGCCCTACCAAGATCCGATGCCGGTCTTCTACACCTTCTGCCGCCTTTGCCCCTGGACCCGCCAGTGCCGTGACCACGACCAGGCTGCCAGCGTGCAAAAACAGCACTTTGTCATCCACCACCCTGGCCTCACTCCCACTGGACAGTGCCCGTGTGTGCGCGGTTCCCAGCTCAGCTTGGTGCGCGACATTGGCAAAGCTTCGGCGTGGTGGCGGTGTCCGCTGTGTCCCCAGGGCATCGACTTTGACACTGGCAACGCCTCGCCGCGTGCGCGCATCCTGCAGGCCATTCGCCAGCACAAAACCTCTTAAGTGGGCCAAGCTGTCCTGCCGGGACCGGGCCGAAAAGGCGACGGTCACGAGGTTCAATGCCAGCTCTGCCGCTCTCATCTCGCAGAAAGCACACCTGCTTGCAAAGTTCGAGGTGTTTCGCTGGCCACGCAAGGTTGGACCCAAATCGCAGGCGATCTCTCCCATTGCCTTCCGTCATTCTTGGGTTTGCAAGACATGCCACGCCACGTGCCGCGTCGCAAAGCTTGCTGAGGAGCACGCGGCGACCAATTGCCCCAACAAGGCTGCGTCGGGCCTGCTTAAGACTTGGGCCCACGGTCGCCTCAGTACTCTTGCTGCAGACCGGAAAATTTTTCTCCAAGCCCCCAACTCAGGCGAGGCAAAGGCGCGAGGCATTGCCCTTTTCGACCAGGCCAAGGCTGTGCTTGAACGCCAGCTTCGAGCCTTTGGTGCCCCAGTGCCGTGTTTCTAAAGGCTTTGGCTTTCAATGCCGCGTCCAGGGGTGTCTCTTGTGGCGCGGCGCTTCGCCCGATCTTGGTGCGTCATTCCTTTGACCTCGTTGCCATTAGTGAGGCTCATATCCCTGCGGCCTCCCGTGTTGCCTTTGCTGCCGAGTGGAAGCGGTACGGGTGGTCGGTGGTTTTCAGCGCCCCCGAGAAGCAATACTGTCAGGTGTGCCTCCTGTCCCAAATCCCTCTTAAGCAGGTCTCGGTCTGCAGCCAAGACGGTGCCACCCGGCACGCGGCAGCCCTCCTCGACCTCAAAAGCGCCCGTGGAAATGTGCCGCTGTTGGCCGCGTGGCCGTCTACTTGCAAAGCGGCAAGCCCCTTGTTGCGCAGGCCCAGGCCAGTGACATTCTTGCAGGTGCCCAGTCCTCTGGTCGGCGGTGCCTCGTCTTTGGCGATTGGAACCTTAAGTGCAAGAGGAGGGCGGCGACCTTGCAGCTGCATCCTTGCTGCGCTCCCTCAGCCCAGGCCGTGCTCCGTGCAGCTTCGCTTCTCTCCGGGTGTCCTTAAGGCGGCGATGCAGTCTATGCATGGCAAGGCTGCTGGTGCTGACGACTGGAGGCCCTCTGAGATGATCCATCTCCCCTGGTCTTGGTGGGACTTAGCCTCGCAGCTTTGGTCCACCATTGTTGAAGTCCGCAGGGTCCCGTGCATCTGGAAACAAGCCAGGGTAGCTTTGTTGTGGAAAGCGAGACAGAGGACGAGGCCCATTTCGCTTCTCCCGGCAGCCGGCGCACGGTGCATCAAAGATCAGCTCAAGCCATGGCTAGACAGCTGGCAGGAGTCTCATGTCATGGGAGGTTTGCCGGCCACCTCGGTGGCCACCAGCCTTATGCAAATCCGTAGGGCGTTTGATGAGGGTTGCTCTTGCTTTGCCCAGCTTGACATTGCATCGTACTTTGACACCATTGGGCCCTTTGTGCTCCGTCGGCGCATGGCTCATTTGCACCTGCCTCAGGACATCTCGGACCTTCTTGGAAATTTTTACCAGGGGGTCCAGCGCATCTTTTGCATGAGCCAGGCACTTTCTGGGCGGTGGCGGGAAATCTCCACAGGGCTCGCTCAAGGGTGCCCGCTCTCTCCGATACTGGCCTCGGCGATCGGGCACATCTGGTGTTGCTGGATCAAGGCCTCCCGCCCGCCTGATATGCCCAGATGCCTCAGTTACGTTGACGACCGCACGCTTTGGGTGCCTGCTGGTGGCCCCTGCTCTGCTCTGCAGCTCCCTCTGCGTCGTTCTCGGGAGTTTGACCAGGCCTTCGGCTTTGCATTGTCTTTAGACAAGAGTGCCATTGTCACCCGGGACCCTGATCCCTGTGCCGATGCCCTTGCTGCTGAGTTTGGTTTTAAACGGGCTGCCACGCTCGAAATCCTGGGGGTGCAAGCTTCTTTCGAGTCCGAGTGGCGCCTCCTTAAGTTTCAAGTGTTACGCTTGAACCTGCTGCGCACGGTGACCTCCAACCGCCGTACGCACTGTCAGCTCTTGGCCTCCCTTGTCACGCCGTGCTTTGCATGGGCTGCGGGGTTTGCGCGCCCTGCACCCGAGGAGCTCTCCAAGGTCCGTGGCGCAGTGGTGCACCTTTTCGGCAAATGCTTCACGGGGCAGGCTGCTACTGTTTTGGTCTTCGAGGCCACGGGCTGGAAGCTCGAGCCGGAGTTCGCCTGCGAGAGCCCTCCGTGTCCTTTGGCGCTCCTGCGCAGTGACGCCGGCCTGGTTGGACACAGCGCCGATTTCGCAGGCCACGTTTGACTGGAAGGCCATGGTCCCCGAGGCTCAGTGTGTGTTGGCCAAATACGGCTTCCAACTTTGTCGCCGAGACCGTGATGGTGCTGAACGTGTGCTTCGCCGCGGCGGTGACAGTTTTGCATGCGTGTTTTCGTGGCTCCGCCAGCACTACAGTACAGGCAGTTGCTGACGTTCCGTGCTGGCCGAGTGCAGCGCAAGCTCCATCGGTTTGACGAAGGCTTGGCTACAGGGTTGGACCTCCCGCCGCCGGATGGTGGGGAGGACTTTCACTTTGGCGGCCACCACCGGGCTTTGCGTGCTCAGCTGCGTGGCATCGACTTGTCGTTGATTGGTGCAGGTGGTGGCTGCTGGCACTTCAATGGCCACCGCAAGCTTGCTGACAACCACGAGCGTTGGAACTGCAGGTGTGGCTTGAGGTGTCCCTCCAAGCCACACTTGACTTGGAGCTGTGAGTGCACTGCTCACTGCCGTGCTGGACTTCGCCTACCTGTACATCGTGCTGAAG